GACACTAGTGTTAATTCCCCAACATCAAAACCAGATAAACACATCACAAAAAAATTAAATAAACCAATATCCATTGTGAAAATATATAGGTAAAAATACACAATAAAATACAACCTAGGAAGATAGAAAGGATCATATTGACCAGGTGAGATTTGTTCCAGGACTAGGAGACTGCTTTAACGTCAGAAAATCAATTACTTTAATATGCTATATTAATAAAATAAAAGACAGAAACTATAGAGAATCTCAATAGAGAAAAAATACTTGAGAAATAACTCAACACCTTTTCCTGGTACAAACATTCAACAAACTAGGAATAGATAGGAACTTCTTAAACCTGATAAAGAGCATCTATTAAAAAATTCCAGTGCTAATTCATACTTAATGGTGTGTGAATGGTTTTTCCCATAGAAAAAAGAATGTCTTCCTTTGCATCTTGTATTTAAAATTCTTCTAAAAGGACTAGCTATAGATGTTAGGCAAGAAAGTGAATCTAGATTGTAAAGTAATACGTAAAAATTACTTTATTTGCATATATATATATATATATATATATATATATATATAATCCTGAAGAAATTGCTAAGAAAAAAACTATATATAAATATCCAGATATATAAAATATCCTGAAGAAATTCCTAAAAATCTATTGAACTTAATAAACAAGCTTAGCATTCTTTAGGATACAAAATCAGCATGCCAAAAGTAAATTTTATTTTTAAATACTAACAGCAAACTTTTAAAAACTTAAATTAAGAAAACAGTTCCATTTTCAGTAGCATCAAAATACTGAAGCATAAATTTAATCAAATATATGCTTTTGTGTTGATCTAAGCTTTGGAGATACAAAGATGAACATGAAAAAAGTATGCGTGAATCACATCTCTGATAAGAATATAAAAAGAATTCCTACAACTCAATAACATAAAACCCAACAGCTCCATTTAAAAATAGGTAAAAAAGTGAATTTGGGGGGCTGAGCAAGAAAGCAAGAGCAGCAGCAGGCATGCCAGGGAGAGAGCAAGTCAGTGTCTCCTGTGAGCCTCCCAGTGTGGGGGCTGAGAATCAAACATCCCATGCCCTGCTGCCCTGGTTAGCAACTGGATGGTGTTGAGTACAGCCAGAGTTGATAGCAACTAAGGCACATAAAGCAACTAAATGCTTGTATTGTTGGGTTGATTATACTGACCTGGGATCAGAGGTCTGAGCATCTCTTGGGGGATGACAGTATGCAATATAGCAAATATGGGGGATTTCCTATCTTCTCTTTGAAGGCCAATATTATTCTCACTGTTTTGGTTTGTTCTGATTAATTGTTTTGCTCTATTCAATATTCTGTTTTGATAGGTTTTATAATGTTCTGGTTTTGCTTTGATTTTTCTATATCTGATGGAATGGACAACTAGTGTGAAGATTACGAGACATACTATGGTACCTATTACTGTTATCCTGGTATCCTGTTCTGAAGTTCTGTACCAATTTCACTGCGTTGTCTCAGTTGACTTTGTTCTGTCTTGTTTTGTTGTATTTTACTATCTTCAAAATAAAAAAATAAGTGAAAGATTTAGACATTTCTCCAAAGAAGATACAAAAATGGCCAAAGATACTTGACATTAGTCATCGTGGAAATCAAAATCAAAACCACAGTGAGATAAGATGCCATACCTACTAGAACAGATACTGAAAACAAACAAAAACAAAATTGCATTGGCTTGGATGTAAAGAATCCTTGTGCATGCATGTTGGGAATATAAAATGCTTCAGCAGCAGCATGGAACAGTTTGTTCTTTATTCAGCTAAACATAGAAGTGTTATATAACCCCAAATTGCATGCTTAGATACATACTCAAAAAGTAGAAAACAAGAACTCAAAAAAAAAAAATAGCTGTATGCTAATGTTTATTGCAGCATTTTTTGGTAATAGCTGAAAATTAGAAGTAACCCAGGTGTCTATCAATTGATAAATGGATAAGCACAATGCCATATAAGCATTTATTCACCCTTAAGAAGGAAGTTCAATGCGTGATTTAGATTTAGCAGACACAAAAAGACATATATAATTCTTCTTATATGAGGTACTTGAACGGCCAAATTCAGGGTCAGAAAGTAACTCTGAAACTACCAGGGGCTGTAGGGAGGAGTGATGAAGAATTATTGTTTAATGGCCAGACAGTTTCTGAAATTGAGATAATGAAGACTCTAGAGATAGTAGTGATGATTTTACATTACAGACATACATAATACTGCTTTAAAAATTGATTTAAAAGTATTTAAGAGTTGACTAGGACGCAGTCCCTATACTCAAAGAGCTTACCAACTTGTTGGAAAACGTAGGGGAGTAGAGGGAGAGATTGACACTGATCACCAAGAGCATTAGAAAGCAACACATGGCAGTGGTCCCTCGGCTAACACCAACTTAGAGGTCAGCAGAGTGGGCATCCCCTGAGTGCTCTGAGCTGGGAAGTATAGAACAGGCAGCAAACTGTAGAATAAAATAAAAGCCCAGTTTCAAGTTTCAGCTATGCAACCTATGGGCCCTATGGCAAATTCCTTAATGCCTCAATAACATACTTTTCTCATTTAAAATGTGCACAGGATGATGCAGTTAAGATGTTTATTTAGCACAGGGCCTGATGTAGCACAGGGTCCAGTTTAGCCATTATTGCTTTTGACATGGTGTTTGTCACTTTTATTGTTGTTAATGATGAATTAGAATGAGTTTGCATAGAAATCAAGTTTGTGAAAGACAGTGGATCCAAGGACTGAGCTACAACTAACCTTGTGAATCTGGGAGATTCTAGAACATAGGGTGAAAAGGCAGGGGGTGTGGGTGGTTGAACCACTGAAGGATGGGACTCAGGAAAGGGAAGAGAGTGGGGAGTAGATTGGAGAAGCACAGAATCTGAGGTCCTGGCTAACCTACTAATTCAGATTATGCCTTTGAACAATATCCCAGCATGATCCCTACTGCATTAAAGTCTGAGAAGCAATGGTATAGAATACCCTATGGGATTCAGTGACCAATCAGATGGCGTCTGTGGTTCCACACCCAATTGTTTTCATCATGATTGCTAAGTGGGATTTCTTTCTCTTTGACACAGAACAACCAGTGTTCATATTAGGTGGGATGGAGAAGACAAGAAGCTGGACAATAGGTCACACTGAAAAAGGAGCTGCTCTGAACACTAAGCTTCACTAACTCTGTTACTTGAAATTATAACCCTGGTCTCTACCATTGGTCTCAAGATTTAGCACTTTTCCTAGTGGTACTGAGAGCCTTATTGATGGGAACAGTGGCCAGCTTAAAATAACCTGCAGATCTCCTGGAAACTGCTTTGACCTTTATTTGCATAAGCCTTTAGGACCTCTCTCTGGAGATGGAAATGCAGCACTTACCTTTTATTCTTGATAGAACTGGTTTCTGAGCTTGTAGGGTTTTTTTTGTTTTGTTTTGTTTTGTTTTTTGACATGGTATACTTCTTGTTTTAGTAACTTTTCAGGTTGTAGGCAAGTTGATTGTAGCAATGTGACTATGAAACGAACCCCTAACCCATCTTCCTCCCCATCCCAAGACTCTCCTAGGAGAAAATGGCTCTCTGGCCAGAGCACATGGGAAAAGCAGAGCAGACTATAGGCTTTTGTGAAGGTTGAGGAAGGTTTTCTCCTCAGGAGTGGAGAAAAAGGAGCAGGCAGTAGTGGGCACTTGTGTCTTTAACATTGGAGGTACAGCTGGCCATCTACTAGGGAGGACAGGTTACTGATTTAACTAACTGTAATATGCCCTAGTTCAAGTTCATACCCATTGGTCCAGTGATTTTGGATTTAGGGATGCACCCTGAAGAGAGACCAGAAATTTTTACAAAGTTAAGCAGGATCATATTCATCTCAGTGATATCTGTGAGAGAAAGAAATTGAAGGTGAGCTGCCCTAAAAGGTTATTCGAAAGGAGGGCATATGTGGAAAGTATTAGAATTTGCTTTTGTATTTTTCACACTTAAAATGTAAGAAATAAAAAGCTTTTCTGATATCAAATCTGAGGACTAGGCTTCACTTCCTTGTTTAATGTCAGATAGCCATGTGTTATATGAGATCCACTGAAACAAGCAGGAATTTCATAACAGAGGTCCCTCCTCTGCCATCAGACTTCATAGATATACTTCAGAAATGAATGTTACCTGTGCAGAGTCTACACTGACAAGGTGGGAGGCACTTGGAAAGGAGGCAGAGCTACCTCCCCCAAGGCTGAACTGCCAGCCCAGCTCTGTGGACGATACAGCCCCTCACCTTCAATAATGATCCAGGTTTAGCTCCTCAGTGGGAAGTGGTGTTTTTCAGTTTGTGGACTGTTTTCATTCATTTGCAGCCTGCTTATCAAGAGTCTCCAGGGGAAAAGCTGTAGCTCTTTGAACAGATTTAGTAATATTTCAGCTTGCATTAACAGCTCTTTACCTCCTGATCCCAACTTTGGCCTTCTACTCTGTTCTGCTAGAGTTGAAAGCTACAGATGACCCCCTACTTTATATCACCCAAAACTAAAAGAACCCTACTTTATACTGCCAAAAACTAAAATAAATTAAGATAAAAAGAAAATCAAACTTATTAGAAAGGGTTCCCTGTCACTTAAACAGATCTTTATGTCTGCTAAAGAGAATAACCAAAGATTCCCCAGGAATGTTCACTTGTCTGTAGATTAATTTTCCTGAGTTTTCTAGCACAAAAAAAACTTATCTCTTAAATAATAATGTTCTGTTTAAATAATCCTTTTAGAGAGATTTAGGCCTAGAATTTTTGGTGCATATTGAAACTGTAAATAATCTTATCATTTGGAATAAATCTCCTTAATATGCGTGTTAGAGTGGAACTTGTGTAATTAATTCAATTAATGAAGCATTGCTCCTAGCAAAGGTGGATTAGCATTTGCTTTCTGGTTGCCTTTGATGTCACCTTGAGTTTGCAGGGCAGTTGAAGTCAATAAAGTTTGTGCATTAATTAATTTTCAGATACGAGGACCGTGACCAGTGTGACTGCAGACATATCCCCAGGACCAACCATTTTCAACAGTGTGATGGCCAGGACCAAGATGAAGCATATGAGGGAGTGAGTGGCACGTCCCTGACCCTAGCAGGCTCCAGTGCTAAAACATTCTGACTAAGCGCATGATCAAATTGTGTGGTGCTTTTAGTCCCTTTGAGTTGTTATAACAAAATGCCCGAATCCAGGTAATTTATAAAGAGCATAATTATATTTCTCATAGCACTGGCGGCTGGGAAGTAAAAAATTGTATCTCAAGCAGTTTTCAAGCATGGCAATGGCTTTGCTTTCTAAATGGTACCTTGTTGCTGTATCCTCACATGGTAGCAGGCAGATAGGCAAAGGGGGCTAAACAGAATGTAACTTCTTTTTTCCAGTACTAGGGACTGGCCCTGGAGAACACTGAGCTATGCCCCTAGTGTTTTGAGTTTTGAGACAAAATCTCCTTAAGATGCCCAAGATGACCTCATATTTGTAGTACTCCTTTCTTGGCCTTCCAAGTAGCTGGGATTACAGATATGCATACCTGCATCCAGCGCAAAGCCCCTTTTATAAGGACCTTAATCCCATTCATGAAGTAGAAGCCCACACCACCCAATCACCTAAAGGCCTCACCTCTTAAACCCATTGCAATTTGCCTAGAATGGTGACCCATACCTGTAATCCTGGCACTCAGGAGGCTGAATCAGGAGGATCTCTATGAGTTGGAGGCCAGCCTAGAGTGCATAATGAGTTCATGGCCAATAAGCACCACATAGCAAGACCCTCTCTCAAGAAACAAAAGCAAACATGAAAAAGAGAGAAAAAATATTCCAGTACATCATTTCAACATATGAATTTTAGAGGGACATATATATTCAAATCATAACACTCTACCCCTAAACCCCAAATTCATATTCTTTTCACATATAGAATACATACATTCCACTCCAGTATCCCCCAAAGTTTTAATGCATCTCAGCATTAACTCAAGTCTAAATTCTAAAATCTCATCTGCATATCTTCTAAATCAGATGTGGGTAAGACTCAGGGCTGTGACTTATCCTCAGTCCCCTATATCTTTGTGACTTTGCAATGAAAGAAGTCATGTGCTTCCAAAATACAGTGGTAGCTCAGGTTCAGGATAGATATTCTCATTCCAAAAGGGAGCATTAGGAAAGAAAAAGAGGTAACCAGTCCCAGATAAGTTTAAACCCCAACAAGGCAAACAAAATTAAATTCTGAGACTTGAGAACAATCTTGTGCTGCATGTCCTATCTTCCGAGCATGGTGGGGTGGGAGTTGGGCCTCCAAGACTCTGGGCAGCCTCATCCCCACAGCTTTGCTTGGTGCATCAGTGCCACAGCTCTCCTAGGAGAGAGTTTCATACCTTCAGTTTTGCCAGGCTGGCGTTGCTGGAGGCTCTATAGGCCCAGGGTCTCAGAAGTGACCCTGCTCCCACAGTTTTGGTAGGCATTGTCTTAGAGGGAATCTCTGTGGAAGTCCTGCCTCTGTGGCAGTCCTCTGCCTAGGCCCAAGGCCCTCCAACCGCTTGCACTCTGTGCACCTGCAGAGTTGGCATCTTGCAAATGCTGCTGAGCTTTATCATGTGTGTCTTCCGGAGCAGTGACCTTAACTCTCCTGGATCTCTAAGCCACACTGGAGTGAGCGAAGTGTACTGTCCCAAATGTGTGGAGCAGAAATTTGACCCAGTGCCGAGTGGCAAATTCCAAGACTTATGGTGCCTGGCCTCTCTCTGGAAATCTTTCTATGCTTGAGACCCAGGCACTGCAGGGCTGCGTTACAGTAGCAGCCTCAAAGATCTCTCAAGTGTCTTCAGGGTCATTTCTTTCTTCTCTTAGTGAATAGCACTGGCTTCCTTTTACTGTAAAAATCTTACTCAACATTTGTTTATCCATACGCTTAGCATATATTTTTATTCTTTACATAGCTAAATTGAGAATTTTCCAGATCTTTAAGGTCTGCTTCCATGTTGATTACAAATTCCACCTTTAATTCATTTCTCTCATCACATTTTACTATAAGCAGTAGAAGAAGCCATGGAGCACATGGAAGTACTTTGCTTAGAAATTTCTTCTTGCAGCTATCTTCATTTATTATTAGCACGTTCTGCTTACCAAAATGCACTGGGACACGGACACAGTCCAGCCAAGTTCTTTGCCCTTTTAATAAATAAGACGGGTAAAGTTTCAAATAATACTTTCTTATGTTCCCTTAAGAGTGCTTCAGAATAGTCTTTACTGTTTGCATTTCTACCAATATTCTGTTAGTGGCCAATTAGATAATGTCTACCTTTCCTTTTTGTCTTAGTTTTCTTGTTGCCTAGACAAAATCCCTGATACTCAAAGTTAAAAGAGGGAAGGTATATTTGGCTTACAGTTTGAGGAGGTTCCATTCCACAGCAGCTAACTCCATATAGTCAGGCATTGTGGAGGAGAAATCATTCATAAATAGTTCATGGCAGGCGTAAATATCAAAATCAAGTGTCAAACAACCAACTATAAGTTACTAGCAGTGAGCCTCTTTTTGTCCCTTACGTTGTACCCAGGCTACCTATCCTAGGACGGGTATAGCACTCACACTCATAACCCCAGCATTGCACCATGAATCAATCACACACTCTAAAGCCAGACACTTCTAAAACAGCCCCACTTATGACCACATGAGGCTATGTGGGGGACATCAAAATACAATGTACAACACTTTTCTTTTGAACTCTTACTAGAATAAGGTTTTGCAGTCCAGCATCTACCTACTATGCAGGTCCAAAGCTGCACCCTCATTTCTAGGTATCTGTTACAGTAACACTTTGCTTCTTGGTACCAAATGCTTAGTCCTTCTGTGCTGCTATAACAAAACACTCAAAACTGAATAATTCTCAAACAGTGTAAATGTATTTCAAACAGCAAGAGATGCTGGGAAATCAAAGATCCAGATGCTAGCTGAGTTGCTGCCTGACAAGGGGTCAGTTTCTATGACGGGACCTTAAATGCTGTTCTTGTGTGACAGGGATAAAGGGACAAAATGGTTTTAGCTAGTTCTTTCCTGCCCTTTAGAAAAGTCAGTAAACCCACTAATCAGGCCGGAACCCAATGACTTAATCAGCTCCTAGCCCCCTGTGACACTGGGGGTTAAGTTGTAGCATGCATTTCTGGGGACACAAACATTCAGCCACTTGGTCTCCATAAAACTACAGCTGGCTTCCTACATACAGCAGTGAGAATAACTCAGTGGAAAAAGCCTGAATCTCCATCAAAAGCAGCTGCTGTAGATTTCTTGGCAAGGAAGCAATATCGGTTTTCCTGATCTAACATTTCGTGTACAATCCACGTCCCTTAATAAGGGGGTGGCAACGTTTCCATGTAAAGGAGTAAATGGTGTAAATATGTTAGGTGCTGCAGTCCTGCAGTTTGTTATAATTACTCATCTCTGTTGTAACACAAAGGCATCCGAAAGTGATATGGAAATACATGAACATGGGTGTGCTTTTTAAAAAAGCTTCATTTTGAGGTTAAAATGTGAATTTCATATAATATTCAGGCATCTCAATGTATAATTCTTTCAGTTTTTTCCTTTTTGGTGATTCTGGAGGGAGAGCCTCATCCATGCCAGGCAAGTGCTCTGCCACAACCTCTTCCTCCCACCCTGAGGCAATTAAAAATGTAGAAGCTCTTAGTTTCAGAATGTACAAAAACAGGTGGTGGGTCAAATTAGGCCTATGGGCCACGTACTTTACAGCCTCAACCACAAATATTCCAATTAAGAGATTTCTCTTAAAAATCTACTGCCTGTATTGATACTGATCGAATAGTGAGATAAGTTTGGCAAGAATTGTTTTTCAATTGATTTATATTTATGTTAGTCTTACAACACAGCATGTCACCATCCGGGCTATTGAACTGAGTCAAAAAAGAAAAGATGCTGAAAATTATTCTGAACCTAAAGCTGCTGTAATACATCCAGATACTTATTGTTTTCAAATCCTGCCTGTACTGTCTGAGTGGTCATCCAGCAATACAGTTACCATAGCATCCAGTGAATCTCAAGAATTGGAAGTTAAGGAGTTGAAGCTAATCTTTCTCATCTCCACCTACCGCCACTTCTCCTTGCTAGGAAGAGATGACCTACAAGGATTTAAACATCTTCCAGTTGATAATCTTTAGAGAAAATTTGGCTCAATTATTTCATTCTTTTAAATGTTTTTATTTTATTAGCATATGTTTGCAGTTCGTGCTCTTTGTGATCATTTTGAGGAGTGGTTACCTGTACAGACCACAGCCTTTTCTTTTATAATCTCCTTCTCCTCCCCACCCTGCTGTCCAATTCCTCTGTCCCACTTGCATTATTGTTGACATGAATCTTAGCTCATGTTGTGTCATATAATGTTACATTAATTGAGGTTATTAGATTCCTGCACACAGCATATCTGTATTCCACTTATTTCCCCTTCTCTTTCACTGTACCTCTTGCATTTCTTGGATCACTTCCCTGTTGCAAGAGCTCAATCTCCTCATCCTCTTCTATTCATCCTTATTACTTTCTTTTCTTGTACTTTGCCCCAATCAAATGAGAGATACCATATGGTGTTTAAGTGTGTGTGTGTGCGTATGTGTGTGTGTCTGGTGTATTTCACTGAACATTATATTTTACAGGTACATCCATTTTCTTACAAATGTCTTGAATTTATCTTTCTTTGTAGCCAAGTAGTATTCCTTTATGTATATAGATATCATAGCTTTGTCCAATCGGCTATTGATGGGTACACAAGCTGTTTTCAGGACTTAGCTATTTTGAACTGTGCTGCTATAAACATGGATATGCATGTATCACTGTAGCATGATGTTTTACGTTCTTTGGGGAAGATATCTAGAAGGGGAATAGCTGGATTATATGGAATTTCTAATTTCAGTTCTTTGAGAATTCTCCATACGATTTCCATAATGATTGTACTAGTTTATATTCCCACCGATGATGAAGGAATGTTCCCTTTTCCGCACAGCCTTGCCAACATTTATTATGATTTGATTTCTCAATGATTCACATTCTTTCTGGAATAGGATGCAAAC